AGGAACTGTGGGTGACCTGGGGGAGCAGATAGCAGCTCCCAGTCAACAGCCAGAAAGAAAATCAGGACCTCAGTCCTACAACCACACAGAGATGACTCTGCCATCAACCTGAATGAATTTGGGCTGCACCCCAGTTAAGCCTCCAGATTAGAACACAGCCTGGATGACAGCCTGATTACATACCTGCAAGAAACTGAGCAGAGGATCCAGATGAGCCACATGTACACTCCTGACCTATAAAACTGTGAGATAATAAATGGATTTTTTAAGCTACTAAGTTTGGAGAAATTTGTTATGCATCAACAGAAAACAAATGAATGGATACTTGCCCCATTCAAGCCTTGAGAGGACTGTAGTCCTTAGTCAAGGTCCTGGGTACCCTGATTGTAGTCTCTAAGTAAAACTGTTAGATGCACCCAGCTAAGCTGCAGCCAGATTCTTTTTTTTTTTTTTTTTTTTTTTAAAAGTTTTTATTTTTTTTTTGTCGGGGGGGGGGGGCGGGGGTAGTGCACAAGCAGAGGGCAGCAGCAGGCAGAGGGAGAAGCAGGCTTTCCGCTGGGCAGGGAGTCTGATGTAGAACTTGATCCCAGGACCCCAGGATCATGACCTGAGCTGAAGGCCCACACTTAACCAACTGAGCCACCCAGGCACCACGCTGAAGCCAGATTCTTTAAAAAAATAAAATAAAATAAAAATAAAAATAAAATTTTTTTTTTAATTTACAGAGATCACAAGTAGGCAGAGAGGCAGGCAGTGAGAGAGAGGAGGAAGCAGGCTCCCTGCTGAGCAGAGAGCCCGATGCGGGGCTCGATCCCAGGACTCTGAGATCATGACCTGAGCTGAAGGCAGCGGCTCAACCCACCGAGCCACCCAGGTGCCCCCTGAAGCCAGATTCTTAACAGAAATTATAATAATTTTTTGTTGTTTTAAGTTGTTAAGTTTTAGAGTATTGTTACATAGCCGTGGATAACTAGTACAGCATGAAACAGACAATAATACAAATACCAAAAGGAAAGAGGGATGATAATCCTAGAAAATGAGAAGAATATCAAATTAAAAAATAATCAAGATCAATAAACTGTGTAGACTCAAGATCTATACAATCTATACAGAAGAATATATTTCCAAAGTACTTATGAGTGGGATTCAACTCCTAATAGTGACAAAAATTAAAATAGCCAAGAATGTATCCGACCTAAATGAATCAAACTATACATTTTTATTGAGTAATAAAAAGAGCTTGAATAAAAAAACAATCTCAATATTGCGAAGAGGTCAACTCTGCCTAAATTTATCCATAGGTTCATTTGACTCTAATCAAAATAAGGGAATATCTTATCCATGTGATGCGGTAACATAATTATTTTCTGGAAGAATGAGGAAGGAAGATTAAGACAAATTTTAAATAGAAGGATTAATGAACAGGACTATCCTTAAAACCTTCAAATACAGTATAAAGGAATAATCACTCAAATATTATTAGTGGTTGTGTTCCAGACAATATCCCTACTGTTTTGTGTACACAATGTTACTTCAACCTTATGATAATCCAACAAGTAGAGATACTAACAATAAACATATTTTATAGATGAAAAACCTCAGGCACAGTGTCACAAAGCTAATGAATGTATTAGGGAGACATAGTGTGGTATCAGAGCCAAAAGAGACTGACAGGTACAATCCGAACCAAGTAGTTTCCAGCATAAGTAAAAAAAGAGCAAAAAGATGTATCACATGCCAACAGGAATGGGAAGATTTATTCCATAAATGATACAACTTTAGCTATTTAAATCTTCGACCACAGACTGTCCCCTCTATCTCCACTGTCACACACTGAAGACTGTAGATCCACAAGAGACAGGAAACTGTTTTATCCTACCAACACCCAGGGGCTGGCAAGTTATGAGCAATGTTCAGGGCTGACAAAGGTAAAGGAGCACTCTTGTGCAAGAGTGAAAGAGAAGAAACTGGAGGAAGTCGGCCTTACAAATTTTTTTTTTTTTAAAGATTTTATTTATGTATTTGACAGAGAGAGATCACAAGTAGACAGAGAGGCAGGCAGAGAGAGAGAGAGAGAGAAGGAAGCAGGCTCCCTGCTGAGCAGAGAGCCCAATGAGGGACTCGATCCCAGGACCCTGAGATCATGACCTGAGCCGAAGGCAGCGCCTGGGTGGCTCAGTGGGTTAAGCCTTACAAATTTTATTTTTTTATTTTTTTTAAAGATTTTATTTATTGATTTGACAGAGAGAGATCACAAGTAGACAGAGGGGCAGGCAGAGAGAGAGAGAGAGAGAGAGAGAGAGAGAGAGAGAGAGAAGCAGGCTCCCTGCGGAGCAGAGAGCCCGATGCGGGACTCAAGCCCAGGACCCCGAGATTACGACCCGAGCCAAAGGCAGCGGCTTAACCCACTGAGCCACCCAGGCGCCCAAGCCTTACAAATTTTAAATGGACATTTCTTTTCCTTGATCTTCAACATACTAGTAAAATGACCCACGTATATTAACAAGAAGGTCACATACATAAAGATTACCAATGTGCCCAATAAACCTAAGATATTGAAATATCAACAATCAATGAAATTGCAAGTTAAAACAACTTTATACCTTCAGACTGGTCAAGATTAGAGACACCATGTCCCGTTACTTGCACCATCATAACAGTCCTTCACTGTCTATACCTCTCCTTTCTCCCCTGATTAATTTATTAGCCCCTAGTTTGTCTTCCTACTTTCCCTCTTGCCCAGGATGCTTACTTAAATACACAATCTGAGGACTCCCCTCCTCTCCTGGCTTTTATGTTGATACCCCCCAATTCTTACCTCAGCCTACAAACCTTATTAGGCTCCCAAGTCCTATTGTGTTTACTGAATTCCTTGAACTGAAATGTGTGCCGGAGACAGGTTTAAAAAAAAAAAAAAAAAAAAAAAAAGACAGGTAAGGTAGGCTATGTGAACATGACCGATGATGAGTGACAATCAGTCTCTGTAAGGGAGAGTAATCAGGAATGCTAAGTACTGAGGGAGACCAGACCCTACATGCTCTCTAGCTGATGGTTGTCTTCGTGGGTAGTAGCACACCAGTGGATATTTTCTAAAAGCTATAAATTGGGATATGAAGTGTGAAATCTCATTTTAGTTGTTGGCAACAAATCAAAATCTAACCTTCAGGGACCAAGACTGTGCCACTCAGACAGATCATGTTTCTGAACAACATGGGACCTTCTACTCTATAATCTCTAGGCTCAGCTCTAAGGTTATCACTCCTTATACCTGGAAGTCTTTGGTGGTTTCCCTTATTCATTCATTCATTCGCTTATTTATTGTGCTTTATAAAATATAAGCACTGGCCCAAGGAAGCCCAAATACGAATGCTCAGTTCACATTTTCTCATCTAAGGTTATATGCTCTGTTGACACTCTATTTTTACTTTAGAACACTTATCACAGTAAGTGGTAAGTAGTATCATATTAAAGTGATAAGATACGTAATTCCAAAGTGGGCCTTCCTCACCCCCACCTAGTACCTGTAAATGCCATGAAGGTCGAGAGAGTGTCTGACTGTTCCACCAGTACCTGCTACCCAGCAAAGAGTGGGCAAGGTCCAGATGGAAGTTCAGGCAGATACCCTCATGCTGTGAAGACTCAGGGCCCAAATGAAGCAACCTCTGTGGTGGGCAGCCTGGCAAATTTATTTAAAAAATCTTAAATGGACATTTCTTCTAAGTGATCACCATTCCAGAAATTTAAACTAAGGAGATTATTCACTAGGTGTACAAATCTTTATGTCTAAGGCAATGCATTATAGCCTGTTTACAACAGTTAAAAGCTAGACCAAATGTCCAGCTACCAAATTGGATTCTTTGACAATTACGTTTAAAGGAAAGATGGTTTAAGAAAAATAATGCAAGATATGAAAATGTAAGTTTGTATCACAGTGTGACTACAACTGTGCTTAAAAACCATATCCCAGTCAAAGAATGGAAGAACTTAATTATCATGCTCAAGCAGTAAAACAATAGATGGATTTTCCACCTTTGTCTATTCTTTGTCTAGCATAACTATCTGGGTATTCTCGTACAAAAAGTCATTATATTAACACAGTGAGTCCAGGAACAATACCTCTCCCCTAAGCGATTTAAACTTCTACCCCGAAGAAAATGGTGTCTCATTAATCTCTTACTCATCTTCTAACAGCAAGTTTATTGCACATTACTATTGGGCCTAGCTTCCCAGCCCTAAGAGATACTAAGAGCAGAAGTATTTGGGATAGCATATTTAACTGTATGAAAAATACAAACCTTCACACCCCAAACCCCTGCCCTGCCCGGCACTGGAGGGCTGAAAACTGGAAAACCATTTATCTCAGCTTTTTAAGAGCTGGCTCTATATAGTTCCGCCCTGCGTAGAAATGTAGTAGCAAAGAAAATGTATTATCAAGTTAGGGTCAAAACAAGGAATGAGGCCCTATCAGGAAGATCCTTTATTTGTCTACACAGATAAAATTGTGCTCCAAACGTCTATACATGTTGAATGTACCAGAGAGCTGTTTACTTGGCAGTTGTGGTGTGAGTGAGCCTAGAAGCTGCATATTAAAAATTATGCTACTGGTTATGTGAACAATAGAAGATACTCAAGTGGTAGAAATGCTGCAAAATCTAGCTATGATTTGTTAGGCAACATTTTACCAATACTGCAAGAGGCTGTAATTTCTGTAAAAATCAGCAAGAAAGGTATATACTGAGAAGAAATTCTACACTTGATTATGTTAACTGGCGGCTCCAGGAGTAAGGGATATAGATTTGTCAGAGTGAAATAAACTCAGGGATTATAATAAAATTAAAACTGAACTCCAGAATAAGCCAAACACAGAGCTGGGGAATCCATATGTAAATACCACTGGCAAATGATCAGTGATGGTTTGTTACAGGAGACAGGAAAACTCAGTGCACCTGGTTAATTAGTTCTTTCTACATGAAATGCGTAGTAAAATCAGGATTACTCACGTGATATCCCTTCGTTGATAGCAGCCCTGAAGCAGGCAGGCGATCAGGTCACTGATAAACTCTACATCATCTCTGTGAAGAGCTGCTTCTAACTCCTACAGAGCAGGAAGAGGAGAGAGAGACTGAGATCAAACACAGATTTCTTAAAATCCACCTTTCCCAGCTTCCTATCACCCACACCATCAACATCAGTGTAGCCAAACTGCTTGCAATGGATAAACTCTGCCTTTCTAATCCCAGTTACTGCTAGAAGAGCAACCGGTTCAATTTCTTGTTTTTCTAAGAAAAACTTTTGTTTTCCCCACTGCTCTATTCTATTTTTCTGCACACCAGAAGAAACACACATATATCTCTTTTTATGTCACTGCTAGCTACATAATTATCAAAGAGCTTAACTTATATAAATATGTTATAATGCCTTCTACTTTAATGGCAAGAGAATAAAGTAGCAAATAACATGATTGATTAGAAAGTATTCTTCATTCCTCTACAGTTTTAATAGGTAAACCACCCGCAACTGCTTTAAAGAACCACTCTATTGAAAAAAGCACTGGTAGTGAGCAATATAGCTAGCAATTCTTATTTTGAGGATGCTACACCTAAGTGACTAATGATAGGAGATTGCTAGAACTGAGATTAATCTTACATCATCCAGAGAGAAGTGAGGTAATGTCTATGTTAATGGTTTAATCCTAGGTGAGATGTATTTGTTTTCCTTGGGATTCAAGCAGACAATGCCAAAGATTTAGCTCATATTTAGCACAGTATTCTGAAAAAAGCCAAGTTGAGAAGGAGCTACTGGGACAAAAAGTGACAGTGGGAAATTTTAGGAGATCCTATTTCTTTTTTCAATCTCCCATTCTAAACCAGTATTTTCTAAGATGATGGAATCTTTTCCAAGTCATCAACTCTTGAGATATAAAGTCTGCCCACACTGTTTCAACCAGGATGCTATCTTCTGCATGTAAGCCATTTTCCAAGGGTCTGCTCTGCTTATTGTTTGAGTGGTTCATAACTTGATCTATAAACACAGAAAAACCAAACTTTGAAAGCTCGTATTAATGGTTCTAAAAGCATGAGGTGTGCATAAGAAACAATTTCTGACCTAAACACCAATGACACAGCAGTGCATCCTTAACATAGGAGCCTGCTGCTATTATAAAAATATTAAAGTTTTTCTAGTGATAGTAAAAAACTAATTCTGTAAAATAATTTTGTAAGTTATTTTATTTTAAAGATTTTATTTATTTGACAGAGAGAGATCACAAGTAGCAGAGAGGCAGGCAGAGAGAGAGAGAGAGGAGGAAGTAGGCTCCCTGCTGAACAGAGAGCCTGATGCGGGGCTTGATCCCAGGACCCCGGGACCATAACCTGAGCCGAAGGCAGAGGCTTTAACCCACTGAGCCACCCAGGTGCCCCTGTAAGTTATTTTAATGGTTCCATTTGTTATTTTATTTTTTAAAACTCCAGAGTTGGTAAGCACTCACTCTAAAACCTGTTCAAAAATAGAGGCGCCTTGGCAGTGTGATAGGTGAGGTGTCAGACTCTTGGTTTGGACTCCGATAGGGATCTCAAGGTCGTGAGATGGCAGTGTGGCAGTGGGCTCTGTGCTCAGCAGGCAGTCTGCTTGTATTTCTCTTCCTCTGTCCGCTCCCCACCCCCTGCCCGCCCAACCTTGCACACTCTCTCTCTAAAATAAATAAATCTTAGGGGTGCCTGGGTGGCTCAGTCGTTAAGCGTGTTGCCTTTGGCTGAGAGCCCTGCACTGGGCTCTCTACTCAGGAGGAAGCCTGCTTCTCCCTCTCCCACTCCCCCTTGCTTGTGTTCCCTCTCTCACTGTGTCTCTGTCAAATAAATAAATGAAATCTTAAAATCAATCAATCTTAAAAGAATAACAATAAAACCTTCATAGGACAAAATACTGCTAAGCATACTAACTGACACAAATGAGCAAAATATAAATTACCCTCAGGCAGTTCACCTGAAAAGGTTCATACTGCCTTAAACGCCCAGGTGAATGAAGCTCAAAATCCAAAGGGTAGGCTGAGGCTTGCAAACATTCTGCCTACCTTAACTACAAACTTGGGAATTAGAACGCATCTTAGCAATAGTTCTTATTCTTCTATTAGTTTATTAATTCCTTTTGGCAGACTTCTTTTCTAAATTTTAGTTAGTGATTATCCAGAAAAACAAGAAACTCTACCAACCAGAGATAACAAGGACCTGAACTATAATTAGCCAGAATTCATTCATTCAACCAATATTTACTGGGTACCCACCCTACCTAAGATAATATAGTAGTTCCTAAAGGCTGAGGAGCTTAGTTTAGTTTGGAGAGATAAGAGTACAAAAAAAGATAGCCAAACCAACTAATTAGCACTGTTAGGTACAGAAAAGGTGCTACGGGGGCAACGGGGATTGAGAAGAAAAGGACTCCTCCTGGCTGTGGAAAGCCTAAGAGACTGCGTGAAGATGGTGGCATCCGAGATAGGAAAATTGTGGCAATGGGGGGAGAACCAGGGCATAACAAGGTGCAGGAACAATGGGAGCAAGTGCATGGAGAGGATAAGAGCTTCAGTTTAACTCTTCTGTGGATACTATGAGGGGAGTAATGTGAGCTAAGATCAATAGCTGATATGAATACTGACCTAATGAGTTTGTCTCTGGAAGACAATGGAGATTCACTATAATTATTTTTACTGAGGAGAGGCACAGTGGTACCAACCTAGCTGCTGTGTATATAAGAGGAATTCTGGTGGTAGAGGGTGTGAGGTGGGGTTAAACACAAGAGCTGGGGAGGATTCTGAAGGACTCACCAGAGGAGAGAAATAGTAGCAATGGGGAAACATGAATTCCAGATGGGACAGAAGTAAATGTGATGCAAAGTAAGGGAAGATTTGAATGGTTCATATTTTAAGCTTGGTCAGTGGCAAGACTCCAAAGCAAACTCCAATTATAACAGAAGGTGAACCCTTAGCACAAAGTCCCAGACCATCTTGTTTGATAGAGGAGCCACACTTACTGAATGGTGGAACTGGAAGGTATATTACAGATCGCAGTATTTCAGCGTTCTCAATTTAAGGATAAATAAACTACGCCCAGGAAGGTTAACTGACTTTTGTTGTACTCAGCCAAATAATGCCAGGACCAAGTGAAACTCAGACCACCCCGTCCACGGCCCTTCCCACAGAGTAAGCTGCTTCTTACTGGCCCATGTGTTCTAGGCTAGAAAGAGTGCTGGCTTTAACAGCTATAAAAACCCACCTCCATCACTCCCAACCAAGCCCTCCAATGTACCATTCTTCCTAAACATAAAGAAATTCCTTCCCTCCTCCCTTCTGCCAAGCCATATTGTAGGTCCTTTACATGAAAAACTTTCATCTATAACATCTTCCTAGCCAATGGCTAGGAAGCTGATGCCCCCCCTGCCCCCGCCCTGGGTGGCTTAGCCAGGTTAAACATCTGCCTTTGGCTCAGGTCATGATCCCAGGGTTCTGGGATGGAGTCTCACATTGGGTTCCCTGCTCAGCAGGGAGCCTGCTTCTGCTCTCTCTCTGACAAATAAATAATAAAATCTTCAAAAAATAAAATAAAATCTTCCTGACTTCTATTTTGCTCGTTCCTCCAGCAACTCCTTCAACACTGTGTATGTCCACATTCTGTTACACACTCCTGCTGGGGTTCCGTCCTCCTCATAAGTGTAAATTAAAGAGCACCATGTGACTCTTGATTAAAGGTACTAGAGCCAGATGCTTCCTAGTGTTTTTAAAGGACAGAAGTGCCAAATTAAACTACACAAAGGCCACAAGTGAAGAGATAAGAACTGGGAAGGCTTTACCAAGGACAAAGAGAAGTTCACCACATATCTCTGTGGAGGTATGCCAGGATTCCTAGAAGCCCCACGATACATGTGGACCACTTTTATTCCGTAGTAATTAATTTAAAACATTAATTTTATAAAACAGTCATATTACAGAGCAAAGTGTAAAATCTGCATTATTTTTATGCTGAGACTCCTCCCGCCCCGCCAAAAAAAAGAAAAGTAAAAGAAAAAAAATGTCACTCACACAGGAACAGTTAAAGCTCTACTATGAATACCCTTTCTTTTGCATCTCCTGATTCCCACCCACAGACATTCCCTTGTGGCTTAGGTGGAAATGCTTGAAACGAATGTCTCCCTTTCTATCAGGGTAACTTTCATTACAGTAAGGTTCTAGTTGTCCAGTTTAAACCTATGATCTTATCTTCTGAAGAGGCAACAATAAAATATAGCAATATTTAGCTGGCAGATGCACAGGCAGGCACAGCATGTGGAAGTTCATGGCATGTGTAGAGTACAAAGGCCTCTCCCCAAAACGGAGAGGGTGGTTAGAGAATCGAAGACTGGACGGGCCTGTTTCTTAAGGATCTTCACACGAAAGACCATGGATTTTACTTCCATATGCAATCAAGTCTGGAGAAGGAGAGTGGAATGATCAGATCTCCATCTCAGAAAAACAGTTCTGAGAGCGGAATGCAGAACAACCGGGAGGGGTAGCAGAGGTGAGGACCAGGGAGGCAGTGTCAGCATCACCTGGAAGCTTGCACCTCAGGAACCATGACAGATTTACAGACACCAGAATCTGCATTTTAACAAGAGCCCCATGATTCATATGCTTATACAGTCCGGGAGGTGCTCTGGAAGTTAAAAGGTCAGAGTCTGAGGTAAATAAAACAGCAGCTGTGGGAATAGAGAAAGGGGGGATTTGTGAACATGTGGAAGATGAATAAATGCTGGTTTAATGAATGAAAGACAGAAATGTAACTACCAAATGAAATAAAGCCATATACCTAAAATGCTCTAAAACATAAAAGAAACATCAAAAACGAATTTCTGACATAAGGATGGAATTAAATCCTTATACTATAACCATAAACACACTCAGATGATTTATCTCAAGAACAGGTAAAGCCCCTTGTTTACCTAAACACCCTAGCATTAATGAATCATCATAATCAAATCATGCAGATAAAGTGTGGTTATCAGTATCTATGGAATTTAGAGTTCCTTCCTCAAGCTCTGAAACCCAAAACTCTGAAGAATTAAATGTAGTTC